GTATTCCTGCTTTAAATTCAACAGGTGAAACAGATTGAGAGGTTTTTGCACACCCTTTGCTCTGTCCAGAATGCACTGAGGTATAAGTGAGCCATCAGAGGTGGGATGAACAGATAACACATCCGTCTTCTTAACAATTAGGGTAAAACAGAGGATTAACATTTGCTAGTCATGAGGCCCATCACCAGCCCACAGTGGAGTCCTTGGGAAATCAGGTGGAATCTAAGGAACAGACTCAAAGAAGTGATACTCTTCCTGTTTCCAGCTTTAAAAGGACATGATCAGAAAAGAAGGAAGGGACTGTCATACTTCCACCAGAAAGATGCTCTGCCTGACAACAGTAGAAGCAAGGCGGTGCATAGAGGGAAATTCCTTCCATAATTTCCTACCCCCTTGTAATTCAAGTCACCGTTTTACCTTCAAACTAGCAGTTCCTTCCAGTTACTTTCAATGCCCTCATGGAAACAGTATTTTTCAAGTCACCTAGGATTAGTGTCATTGATACCTTTCAATGCTCTGTCTCTTTCATCCTACGTACCTGGCCACCTCCTGTTTCCAGCTGTCATCACTTCTGCCTGGTCCATAGGGATTTCATGTTCATGGTTTCACCTTCACAAGCAGGCATTTCACCACATCTATCCTTTGTTCCATAAGCATCACCTGCTCTTCCTGGTACTTTTAATGCCATCCTGACATTCCCTAAATGAGCCTTCCTCTTTTTAAAATGTATTTGTAACAGACAAATAATAATTGTGTATATGTAAGGAGTGCAATGTGATGCTTCAACTCATGTACTTTATAGAAAGAATCAAGATAATTAACATATCTATCACCTTACCAACATAAATTTTTTCTGATGAGAATGGTAAAAACCAATTTTGGCAATTATGAAATATACTAAACATGCCGACTAACTGTGAATGCCACACTGTGTGGTATACCACTCAGTCTTCCTGCAGTGTTACTGAAACTTTGTACTCTTTGACCATCTTCCCTTTGCCTGTTTTTCCCTCTCCATGCCCAGGCTCTGGAAACAACCCTTCTCCTTGTTTACATGAGAATCCATATGTAAGTGAGACCATACAGCATTCCTTTTCCTGAGACTGGCTTATTTCAGTGAAGCCTTCTCATTTTGTTCGACACCTTGACTAACATGTCAGTACTTATTCATATTTTACCATTATTTCTATTTATAACTCTTTCTACTCATATCTTACCTGTTTTAGGTCCAAAACATAATCCCCATGAGGAGCTTTCTTGTCTGTAATTCCAAGTGGATTTTTAACTACACAAAGATATATAGCTTGGTTATCTAGATGTATCCATCCTCAGCTCCATGGGAGAAGACCATGGCTTATGCTGTGGCATAGCTCTGAGTGCTTGCCATTCCTAAGGACTGAATATTGGTGTTCCTGGAACACTCATGCATGGAAAAGTGATCCTACACGTGAGGGTATTGAGAAGTGGGCCTTCAGGAGGTAATTAGGACATGTGGAATTAGTGCCCTTGTAAAAGTTTCCAGAGAGGGCTCTTGCCCCTCAAATGGTATTTGAGATTACAGTGAAAAGCCAGTCGTACATGAGGAGGAAGAAGGTCTCCAACAGACATGAAATCTGCTGGTAACTTGAACTTGGATTTTACAGATCCCAGAACTGTGAGGAAAAACTATGTTGTTTCTCAGTAACCTAATTTATGCTATTCTGTTTTACCAGGCCAAACAGACTAAGACAACACTCAAAGTGTCTTTTAAATAATCACTATCTTAGTCCATTCGGGTTCTTCTCCTGTCTTCACATGGCAAAAGGAACAGGAAGGCTCTTCTGAGGCCTCTTATAAGGACATTAATGCCACTCCTGAGGACTCTACCCTCATGACCCAATCACCAAAAAGCCCTAACTCCTAATATAATAATCTTGGGGTTAGGTTTTAACACATGAACATGGGGAGAGGTGCAAAACAGGCAGGCTACATCAATAATCAAGGTTAACTAAGCCACCAACATGAATATTAAAACAGTCTCAACTCAGACACAACACAGATAAAATTTCATTGTTTCTAAGATCTCACAGAAGGTGACACATTCACATCAGGCTTTCAGAAACCTGGATTATACATCACCTGTGCTTGTGTTTAGTCACTAAGAATACTGGGGACAAACAGTGCAATAGCAGAGTCACAGCTTCACAAGACTGAACGGTCACTGCAGGGAAACTGACCTCTGGTTCCTGAAATTCTCCCCCACTGGATGCCTACCAGGAAGCTTCCAGCTTGAATATTTTCATGAATGTAGATGTTATCTCATGACTTCATCTAATATTGAATATCACTTCACAAGTAAATGAACAAAGGAACCCTTATTTTTTTTCAAAGAGTTTTGATGTCTTTAATCACTTGCTTCCAAATAGAAGCCACATCGTTACTTTTAAGGAATTTCCTCTTAGACTAGGAAACATCCCTCTATAAGCTAGGGGTAATTCCAAAATTCATTTGGATTCTTGAGAGGAGAGGCAGCAATAATAGAAATGTCTGTTAATCCACTTCTGCATTAATGAAACCAGAGCATGTGGATTTTGAGAATGACACATATTTGCATCCCTTTGTCTCCTAATAGCAGGGAACTGTTGAACTGGGTAATTTTGAACTCATTATACTTTCACATTTGACCTCTATGTGTTCAGATGCCAATGTATAAGTGAACAAGTTGGCCAAGTATCTATGTTTAGTAAATCTAAAAATTAAAAGAAGAAAAGCATGTAGTTGAATAGCATTTCTTTTCTTTAAATTAATATATCCTGACAGGAATCCATAGAAATTGAAAAAAAAAGGTGACATCTGTACAGTTTTCTAGTTCTCGGACAACTGTACATGAACATGATATACAAATACAATCTAGTGATTTTGAATAACATAGTAATAGTATTAAGAGGAAATATTGGAATTAACAGCAATCAACATCTGAATTGAACAATACATTATCAAAATATCAGGCAGACAAAAAGAAATCTGACATGACAATTCAAAATTTCTACTGCATTCCAGAAATGTTCCTGCCAATTTTATATGGTATTGATCTTATTTCACATCTCTGAGTGTAGAAAGTGAGGAAATCCAATCGGGTGAGAATCTTGGCTTTGAATTTGAGAAATGATTTAACTGCAGTTGGTTGTGACTATCAGGTAGAGATAATTTAATGAAAAATTGTGTTGTAATGTGTTTTTCTTTACTGAAAACAAGAAAGCAGCAAATATGTTCTGAAAAAAGGAATAAATCTCCAAATTCTGCTGGCAAACATGAAAAGAATTAACTTTGCAAACCGAGGTACAACTGTAGGGTTATGTGATTCACTGACTTCTTATTCAAGATTAACCATTGTAAAGGTGCTCAGAGGTCAGGGGAATAATATGTGAAAAAAGTGAAACTTCAACAAAGATGTGGAAAACTTAAAAAGTACCAAACAGATATGATTGTGTTAAGACAGTGATAACTGAACTGAAAATTGTACTGAATAAGTCCAACAGCAGATCAGATTACGTGGAAGGACAAAAATCAATGAACATGATCAGTGGTCACTGGAAATTATTTTATCAGAGAAAATGAAACAGAATAAGAGTGAAGAAAGCTTAGAAGATTTATGAGGCAGTATTCAGTGACAATATGCATGGTAAAATTTCAGAAGAAGAGAGAAGGGATAGGAAAGGATATTCAAAGAATTAATTCCTGAAAATTTCTAGATGTGGGGAAAGAAATGCACAATCAGATCCAGAAAGGATCCCAAAGAAGCAAAATTCCAAGAAATTCACACCAGACACATTATAAACAAATTTTCAAATGTCAAAGACAGAGAGAAACTTGAAAGCAGCAAGAGAAAAGTGACTTGTTATGCTACACTTGTGTCTATAAGACTACAAGTGGATTTTCTCATCAGATACCCTGCAGGCCAGCAGGAAGTGGGAGGATATTTCCAAAGTTTTGAAAGAGCTTAGAGAGGCTAACTTGCCCAGACTTGCTCAGTGAAGGAACAGGATATCCAGGATTCAAACCTACATAGATCTCATGCTTAATTCAAAGAGCACATTTTACTTTTCAAAATGAAAATTTCAGACCAAGTGTACTAGCAAATGCCTGTAATCTCAGCTGCTCAAGAGGACAAGGAAGGAGAGTCACAAGTGTAAATCCAGGCTGGGCAACTTCGTGAGATCTGCTTCAAAATAAAAAATAAAAAGAATTGGGAGTATACATCAGTGATCGAGCACTTTTATAGGACGCTGAGGTCCCACAAGCAGAAGAGAGGAGAAGAGTGAATAATACAGCATGAGTACAAATAAATTGGAAAGAAAGAAGAAAAGAATAGACTAATCTCAATTCTCTCCATGTATCCCAAAAGGGGGATATTGCTGTAGACATTCATTTGGGGCACTGTTACCACCTCCATCTGGGATGGTTGAAATCCAGGAAGGTCAACTAGGACTGGGTGAGTGTACACTTAATGTGTTTTGATATGAATAATCTGCTCAAAGAACACAAGTTTCTCATATGATGAATGTTCTGGGCAAGCAGTGAGTATGAACATGACAGACAAGTTCATTGGTCTGTTGGAACATTCTAGAGGAAATGAGTCAACATGATGATTACAATGCAATAAAGGAAGTTAAGGGCTCTCGATTGAAAACTGGGAGCCTACAGAGAGGAGTTGACCTGTAATCTGATATGTGGAAAAAGGACTTTCAGGTGAAGATCTGAGGAGAAACTCCTTATGAGGAGCACATTCTAGATTGTTCTGGGGCTCCCCTCATGTTACCTGTTTATACTGATTGTATGCCGAGCAGGCATGCATATCATTTTAGACACAAAGACACCATTGAGGTAAGGACTATTCCACAGTCTTCTCAAAGAGATTGCCTCACATCATGCTATTTATATACAGAACCAAATTCTTCTCAAGGAATGCAGAATTGATCCCCAAAGAATATCCATGGGTCTTACTTGGGAAAATAACTTACAGCTGCCAAATTTCAGGGGGCAAGCGTGGGCATCCATTGGGAAGTCTTCAAGTTGCATGGGGCACTCAGCGGAGATTGTCAAGCTGAAAAACAAGAGATCTTTAAATGATTCACTGACTGGCTACCTGTTGAGCAACCATCTTATCCCAGAAAGCCATATAACTACTTAATTCAATTAATTATCTTTTACAAAATTTCCTAAAACACTTTCACTAAATTCCATTAAGCTTGTGTTGTAGATGAGTACCATTGAGATATAAGGCTGAAGTTGGATCCACTCATGATCCACTGTAAAGCTAAGATGCCATTAAAGTTATTTATTCTGTTTCCTCTTTTACCCACCATTTAAAAAGCTTTCTTGACATGGCTAAAAAGATATGCATGTCCTAACATAGTTTACAAGCTCAAAAAATGTAAATTTAGGATAAACGAGCAAATTTTTACCAGAATCTGGCTACACATTGTTTAATGGCTGATTTGAAACTGGAGAGTTGAGTGAGCTTGTTTTACAATAGCCAGCCTGTTGGTTCACACTTATTTTTTAATTCAAATAATAATAGCACCAATCAACCCTCCCTCTCACTGTCATTATCAAATATAATACTGATGGTGATAGCAGTCAATGCATCCATGCCATCAGTGAAATATACTCAGCATCAGCTTAGGGACCTTGAGGTTCTGGTCCCTCAAGTCCAGTCAGCTGGAGAGTACCTCATCCATGACCTCAGTGAAGTCATAGTCAAGCTGACCTGGACCAGGTCCCAGTCTCTGGTGTGCAGTGGCACAAGGAGGAAAAAGACCAACTTTATCCTTGGTTCAAAAAAAAGGTGCCAAAAAGATGTTCAGAATCTTCTGTTTCCCCAGAGACTAAAGATGGGGCTCGATCCCTCTTTCCCTTGAGGGAAGTTCCCCTGGGTGAGGAAAAACTGGGTTACAAATCTTAGCTAATTGATAAAGTTACCTTTGTCTTCCAATTTAAGTTGGTATTTTTGTTTTATTGATATACTTAAAACATTTCTTATGGATTGTAAGTTCTTAAACTACAATTACAGGGTTAACTTGCTCTTGTCTCTGCTTTCTACTGATGATAAGAGTACTTGGTCAAGGTTACTTGAAACTCTGTTGGCAGCCAGTCAAATTTAGAATTGTAACAATCTAAACCCAAGAGATAGAAAAGAAAAAATTGCAGTTACAACAGGAGCATAACCTGATGCTCAGAGAAAAAAAATTGGTTTCTTCTGGACAGAAGGTAAATGTTATCTAAGCCTCTCATGAGAGATGTCCCTACCCATCTGGATCCAAGAGGAAGCAGGTAGTTTGCTCAATCCCTGTACCAATGACCTAGTGCCAGGTCTGAGAGTTCATAGGTTCTTGTAGAATTTGAGTACCTAACTTCTTGGTCTTGCAAAACCCCTTTATGAAGCTGCAAAGTGGGTAAAATGGGAACCTTTGTTATGGGAACAAGTACAACAAAAGACAACATGGCTCAGTTCCTAGATATCCATGTGTAGTTCTAGCACTGCTCTGTAACATAGATTGTACCTAATCAGCTGTAGGAGGCTAGTGTGTTACCATTTATGGGAGACCAAGACAGAAAATTGTATAAAAGGCAAAACCCTGCCATGTTTGGGGCTTAGTGTTTTGAGTATTAACCCACTGAGCCCCATACCAGCACAAATAAATGCCACTCCTCGGAAAAAGCCTCAATGTCCTGCCTCTCTCTTCAAGAATCCTACCACAGATTTAGTTCACTTAGTTCCACTAAGTTCCACTTAGACACTTAGTTCCAAGAGAGGAGAGAGGTTAGTTATAAAAAAGCAAGCCAGGCCCTGATTCTGTCTGGTTTCCCATCTCACCATGTGATCTTCTCACAAGTGCTCAAGCCACTACCATGTGCTCATGCCACAGCCATGAGACCTCACTGAGACTGAACAGATGAGGCTGCCTGGGATTTTGTTACAGCAATAGAAAATGGACTGAGACAAGTGCTTTCATTTCTCTACGCCATTTCATTAATTAGGTAAAATTCTAATTTTACCCATGGGCCTTCCTAGTCACTCCTGGTCGCCGGGACAAAATACTTGACACTTGCAGAGGTATATTTTGGCGCTCAGTTCAGAAGTTTCTGTCCCTGTTCAGCAGGCTTACACACAGAAGGGGTACAGAAGAAGGGTCTGGGCAGAGGAAAGCTGCTCAGGGCATGGCAGCCAGGAAGCAGAGACCAAAGGAAGAGGTGGGGAGGGTCATACACCCCTCCTGGCCACTCTGCCAGTGACACATCTCTTCAGGCCAGACCCCAGCTCTTACCAGTAACTCAGCTGTAGCACTGCCATGATTCAGTCACCTTCCAACCCCCCCCCATGGGCATGTGAGGCTCTGGAGACACTCAGATACAAACCACAATGTGCACTTATCCTTTGTTTCTTTTTTCTCTTTCCATTATTTCAAAGAAAATGAAATTACATAAAATAAGGTAAAAAGATAAAATGTTTAACTTCAAGTGCATTCTATAATTCTTTTACAGCAAGCCATGCAGTGTTACATTGGTGCCAGTGTCAGTTCCTCCTTATGTTAAGTGTACATGTGGCCTGAGAACCCAGGATGAGAACCAAAATGCAGAAACATTGACTTTGGCCTTGACTATTTCCTCGTGTTAAAATAGATAAACCCCTTGCCTATTACATTGGGCATGTAATTGACACTCGATGCACTCGGAGTCATCAGTGTACTTGCTCTCCAGATGAAGCTAAAATACACACCAGTGTAAAGAAGGTGTGCGCAAACCAAGGAGAGGAAATTCTCTGTTGGCACTACTCCGGGGGACAGTCGCCAAGGGCAGATGAGCCACAGAGGGCTGTGCATGCAGAACTCACTGCAAGTGTTTCAGGTTCACTCGGGGATGATTTTAACAATGGTATTGCTATGGCTTGTATCTAGATGTCCCCCCAAAGCCTTGTGCAGTCATAGAGGGGCTTTTCAGAGGTGGCTGGATCTAGAGTGTGTGGCGCTGGGATCAAGGGTGTGCAATTCCTCCATCAGTCCATTGATTGGTTTGGCAGGTCAGTTCTGGCTAGGATTAAGGGTGTGAGTCTAGGGTGGGTGGTCTGCATAAAATATAAGGGACAGAAAGAGGGCTAATGTGCTCTCACCTACCTGCTTGAAGTGGACTGTTTCTCTCTTGCAGTGCCACTCTGCCATGGAGCCAGCCAATTATGAACTGAAACCTATACAAACCATGAGTTAAAAAAACCTTTCCTCCTTTAACTTTGAGTGTTGGGTATTTTGTTTCTGCAACAAGAGAAAAGTAAGACAGGCATTCCATGTGTGTTCATAGAATATAGGAAAAAGAGAAAAAGGGCTAAAGAATAAAATTATAAACAGCCACCATTTCACTTATGATTTCACCTGGTACATTCAGTCCAGTGTTTCTATATGCACATATATTTTTATTCTACATATATAACATACACATTCTTTTTTATTATTAGAGCAGAATTATTTTCCCATCACTAAAATCTCTACATAATCATAACATTTAGAGACTACATTTTTAATTCTAGCATGTTTGTGTATTTGTCTATATGTGTAATAATCTATAAGCTGTTATTAGAATCTTAGATTTTTATAGGACTAATAATGTACATTGGACCTATTGAATCATAAATTATGAAAGGGGCATATTATAAGTGATAGAAGTGATCAAGGTACATAGAAATTTATTGATTGTAATTAGGAAAAGTGAGACTTTAGAAGCATAGCTTGCTAAAATGGTATTCAGCTAACACGAAGGAAATAATATTGTTTTATATGATTTTAGTAAACTTAAGCAATTTATTAAGCAATAATGAATGAGAATTTAAGTGACTCAAATATGTTCAAGAGAATAAAACTGCAATCAAGCCCAATATCTAGAATTTCTCTTAGAAGTAAAATTTTAATAGTGGAGTAGGAAATATATACAAAGATGTAATAAGTATAAAGTAATAAACGTGAAAATGAGCACATGAAAACCCCATGTTGTAGGTCTGCGTGTGGGTTTGTGGCCCTTATGCTAACAACATGGATATAGGTGCAGCGGGAACACCAGTGGGCCAATACAGAACAGGGTGAGTGTCGGGGGGGGGGGGCAGGTAGTCCAGCTGCCAGGTCTTTGGTGTCCTGAACTGTGACTGATCCCAGAAAACACTGTTTCTGCTGGTTCTGCAGGGTCCTTGGAATTCCTGTCTATCCTGAGTTCTTGATTTTGTTTATTTGTATTTGTTAATGCATGTTTGCAGTACATAATGAATTGTGGGGAGTTGGTACATGTCCATGACACATTTCAATTCTTTTTTTATACCCTTCAGCCCCCCTCAATCTCCTGGATCCCTTCCCATTTGAAAAGATCTATTTTCCTACTTCTTATTAGCTGTCTTTTATTTTGCTCTTTATTTATACATTGGGTTTCTCATATAAGAGAAACCATGCCATATTTAGCCTTGTGTGTCTGATTTATTTCACTTAACCTTATGGTCCTACAGTCCGTACATTTTCCTACAAATGACTCAAATTTATCTTTATTCATGGAAGAAGAATAGTACTCCATTGTGTGTAAATACCACATTTTCTTTATCCATTAATCATCTGATGGATATACAGACTGTTTCCAAGATTTAGATATTATGAATTGTGCTGCTATAAACATTTGTATATGTGTATCACAGATGTCTTTAACTCTTTCAGGAAGACACCTAGAAGGGGGATAGCTGACTCAAATGGAATTTCTATTTTAGTTTTTTGAGGAATCTCCATACTGATTTCCATAGTGGCTGTACCAGTTTACACTCCTACCAAGAATGTAGAAGGGTTTTTTCCCTCAGCCTTGCTGGCATTTGTTATTTGATTTCTTGATGATAGCTATTTTTATGAAGTAAGATGGACTCTTGGTGTTGCTTTAATTTGCATTTCTCTAATGGGAAAAGATGTTGAACATTTCTTCATGTATTTATTGGCCGTACATCTTCCGAGACATCCCTATTCATTTTAGTGGCCCATTTTTTGATTGTCTTTTATTTGGGGGCTCTAAATTTTATTTCATTATATA